GAAGCATTTCAAGTGAGTATTCACTCCATATGACATAAACATTTATAATATGATTTTTGTATATACCAGCCAAAAAAAGATGTCAAATAACACATATACATCAGCAAAATTTTGCTTATCCTAGGAAATTTTTAGGTCTACTATGCATGAGTCAACAAAATTAATTGGCTGTCTTAATGTATATGGCAACCCTTTTTGTCTGGCATCAACTTGTTTATGCCAACTAAAGCTAGCTGTAGATTAAAAACATTTCACCTACATATGAAATTTTTTATGTGTTGTGGTAACAGAGTGGTTAAGGAGCTTGACTGCCATGCCAGAGCTCCGGGTTCAATCCCATCTCATGGATGGCCGCCAGTTCACTCAGCTGAAAATGAGTACCTAGTTGAAACATACTAGGGAGGTAAAAGTGGCCAAGAAAAGAACTGGCCACCCTACCACACAATGCCTTGGTGCAAGACAATGCGCCCCTAACAGCACATTCCCAAGCGTTCAATATAGACAACAGGACTAACCTTTACCCATGAAACTGTTTAGGTTGGTGATGCCCATTTGAGCTATGCTTTGGGCTAGCAAAGCTATTTTTATTACCTATAGAACAAACTCTTCCCTCTGTGTAATTGGCTTGCCTATAAGACACGATATAGTGCAAAGCTTTCAAAAAGTATGATACTATTATAAAACCTACATCACATCATTTGAAATTACATCACATTACATATTGAAGGCATGAAATTAGGGCTGGTGTTTTGATATAAATTCCATAGATGCAAATTTGTTAGTCATGCATAAAGTTATGATTGACCAGGGCAAGATATGAAACTGATAAATTATTGTTCTCTATTATGTAGCTTGAATGTATTATTTGTTAAATCTGTGAAATATATTTATTCTTTTAGGGATGGCAATTTTCATAAATTATATGATAGAAAGCATACTGCAAAGGTATCACTGCTATTTACAGGCTCAAAAATGATTATTTAAGCATGTTAGATAAGCTATAATTTTTTCATTTTTTTGGTATACCATAAGATTCCGAATATAATCCCAAGGGGCTTACAACAGTCCAAATGCCAGGCCTATATTATGGGGGACTATATTCAGGGGGCTGTGATCAACATTCAGTTAATGTCAGGAAAAATTAATTTTTCAAGCCTAAATGAAAAGATTCGTAATGTTCCTGAGACACTTGCTATTGAGCTGTAACTGTTGTGGAAACATGAGAATATGTAAAGAATTACAGGAAAGATAGTTGATGAAGCTAGAAAGCCTCAAGGAAGCCTGTAGACTCAAGGGAAAAGGCATTGAGATAACATGTGTATATAACGGTTAGGTAACAAACATTACAAACTATATGTAAGAAATGCATTTAAAAAACTTAAGAATTGAATATCTGTCTAGGTTATTTAAGGAGAAAAGATTGGAAAGGGTCTTGTCAAATGTTTTCCATTTAATGTTATTAAAAGTGTCCTATTACTTTTTTATTATAAAGTGTAAATTTTTAATGTCTTTTTTTAAAGTTGATAATTGAATGATCCAATTTTATTTATTTTTCATTCTGGTTTCAGTCTTTGCTAAATTTTATGAGAAACCCAACTGGTGATGTTCCATGGGATGAAGATGCAACTGCAAAAGATGTAGTCCACATAAATACTATTCCGGTAATGTATACCTTGTTTCTGTTGCCTAGGTAACATGGCAGCTCTTACAGAAAATGAAAATTTTGCTCAGTATTTATGTCAAAATTTGAGCTGTTTTAGCATTTCTCTGAAAGGAAATTCTCATAAAATTCCTTATTGCTTGAAAAACTAATTCTTCTTTTTGTTTTTCATAGGAATTTATCAAGCTTAGAAGGAAAGAAAAAGGATCTTTGCTAGTTATGTTCTATGCCCCATGTAAGCCAATTTTTGAATTTCCTTTATCTTGTATAATATGGAACTTAAGGACTTGTTGTTGAGTAAAGAAGGCACCATGGATTGTCGACAGAGTATTAATTTCACTTCAGTGCAAGTAGTATGATATTCTACAGCCTTTTTAACATTCATTAACTTGGTAAAGTCACAAGTTTTCTAGACTGCTTTATCGATAAAAAGTTTTGTACTTATTTCTTGGGATATCTTGAGACGTCTGTTGCCAATAGAAGCACGTTCTTGTTAATTACATATGCGTTGTAATAGTGAATTTTTGGACTTGTCCTTTGATCTTTTAAGCAACAGACTTTCAATATTTCCCCATGTTTGTTAGTTATTAGTACATTGCTGTTTCCTGTTATGCAGAACTTTTCCATCTTTCAAGGGTGTGGACACTGTAAACGACTAAAACCAGAATTTTCTGCAGCTGCAACAGAAGTCAAAGGGAGAGCGGTAATAAAATTTATCATGGATCTATCTGAATTATATTGTTAATGGCTGTCTATAATTTGGGAATTTGAAAATCTATAGTTCTCTATAACTATGAGAGAGATAAGCCGTTGCTGATTGGTCAAAAGCAATGGAAACAATTAAACGGGCCATTCCTTCTCTCTTTTTTTTATCCTTTCTGGATGGAAATTTTACTCACCTTTCAGGAATTATCCAGCGCTTTATACTCAGGGCAGTGTTCATATCAAAACATGTTGTAATATGTTTTGATATGGTTAGTTTTTTGTGGTATTATCGAATTGTGTGAATATTTCTTGTGTGTATAGACTGACTTTTAAAGAATATTAACTAAAGACTTTTATGTTTGCTTGTTAATGCCCTTCTGTTTTTCACGAAATACTACAAATTAAATAGTTACCAGCTTGGTTGTTAGATACCGAGTCAATTTTTTGATGTATTATTTTGAAATTATTGATCAGTGCTCGTTACAACAAAAATAGTTCATTTCATAGAATAATAAGGATTATTTTGTTTTTTATCTGCAGACTCTTGCTAGTCTTGACTGTGACAAACCTGAACTATCTGATATTAAATATGAATTCAACATTACTGGCTACCCAACTTTAATATTTTTTGAGTAAGTGTTACTATCTTTTTTCTGATAGAATGAATTCATTTTCTTTTGTTTAGCTATAAATTTTTTTAGCTATTTTGCCGAATTAGCAATCATACTTTAAGTACCATAACATCTACCAAAAGAGTGGTTAGTTCAAGGACTAACCCTCTAATTCTTAAGATATCTCTGTCCTGCTTTGTAAAAAGTTCTTGTAAGATTGTTCGAACTCATCGTTCATGTTTCCATTTTGAATTTTTTGCAATAGCAGTAAGGTGAGACAATATGTTGTAGTTTTCAGCCTCCAGTATGTACACACTCATACAATATACCATACCCAAAAATCATTTTTGCATAACTTAGGCCCAATTAATTTGTCGAGAAGAACTTATTGTATCACTGTTACTTATCTTAGAAATGGCCAACAAAAGTTTGATTATGGTGGAAAATATTCAAAAGATGGAATTGTCGAATGGCTTGAAGAGTATGTTGTTCTGATTATTGTATATAGTTTTCTGCTGTTTTTTTTACAAAACACTCAACTTTGCATCCAGGCACAGCTCGCTAATCCTTGTTCCATTTCCATTCCGCTCTCACATACGTTTTACCCAAGCATAGCCTTCGTGCATAAGGCCTGTTGACGTTATATCATGTTCAAATTTGTTTCAGAGCGGTTTAGATTTCTTTTTTAATAATTAACCAAGAGGGCTATTAAAGCAAAGAACGATTTTTAAATCGAACACAAGAGTCGTGCAGTGCTTTGTTTAAGAACGCACTTTGTCACTTGCTCTCTGGCAACTGTTTGTCGCCTACTTTCTACGCTCGTGACCGTTAGAGGCAAATGGCCTTTAAGGATCTCGTGTGCCGGGGGCTCTATAAGTGTGTTCAATTTGCATTTTTTTCAGCAAGCACCAACCCCCATCTCCGTTTTATGAATCTCTTTCTCAATCGATTTCTTCCTTCATTTTGGTACTTCCTCGTTGCATGATTGCTTGGCTATTCTTTCTTTGTCCATTTTGTGTAAATGAAATTCTTTCACATCCTCGCCACTTGATGTCCCTTTACTGCGCTTTCGCCCAACCTCTTAAAATAGATCTGTCATTTTCCAAGTACTTTTCAGGTATATAGTCCTATTTTTGTATAGCTCCTGATTTGATGTATCCTCTCCTATGCTACTAGCCAACGCTTAGATTTCACTCGATACTTTTCTGTGCTATGTTTCTGTGCTAAGTTTTTTCTTATCACGTCATCAAGCTAAAATTTTACTTAGTTCCACTTATGTAAACTGTATGTTCAATAGATGACAACAGTGTTTAAATATATTATATTCACGAAGCTTTAATTCCCGGTCAGTTCTATCCTTGTCAATCCAATGCTTTTAAATGTCCTAATGGTTTGTTTAAGAATCGATGTTGTTCGCAGTTTACTTCTGTCGAAGGCCTAATCAATCTTCCATCTTGATTTTAGTCCCCAACCTGCCAAAACTGAACCAGAAAGCGCCGAAGAAGAGTGGAAAGATGTCCCGAGTGACGTGGTTCACTTAAAAAGCGACACATTTGACACTGTTGTTTCAAATTCATCTTCTGTTTTGGTAATGTTTTACGCTCCATGTAAGTGAACCTGCTGTGGTCTTCATTTTCACTTCTGAATTTGACTTTTGTGAAATCCTATTTCGAATATCTGTCTCTGCAAAACGTGAAAGGCCATGATGTTTTGCGTTACTGTCGAGACCTATACGTTGAATTTATTATATTTGTCCATACAAATCAGCTTCTAGTATATTTTTGTCTTAGTGTTCTATTAGAATTACAATACGTGTAGCTCAATTGCGCAAAATATGTCTAGATCAAGGTGGACTGGGTGAATGTAGAATAATTTAGATATGCCACTTGGTGAGAAGGTGTTAAATGTAAGGCAGTGTAAATGAGAATAAAAAATTCTACTGTTTTCTTTTAACCAGAAGAGACTCAGGCTCCTTTCACACTGTTCCGTATTCGTTTCGCTCCGTTTTCGTTGATTAAAATGCTGTCCGTTCACACTTATCCGTTTTCAAATGAATACGCTTTAACTATGGTAGGTGTTCACACTGCTCCAACAAAAATGTTGTTGGTGGCCTCACTTATGAACTGAAGCTTTCACGAATCTTCATCAAATTGGCATCATTATGAATGTAATTAAATAAAAGCAAATCACGAAAATCTTTGCTGTAACAGCTGCCAGTTCATTGTGAATTCTCAATTTCAAACTTTTTGAGATTAGGCGTGCTAGAATGCACCTATTTTGTTGCCGTTGTTAGCGTATTCAAATGTCTCTGTTTTCGGTGTTCACATTGGAAACGGAGCATATTCAATACGCACTGTATTCAAGAGTATCCGTTTTCATTTGCGTATTCATATGATTCCGTTTTCATAGCAGGGCAGTGTGAACGCAAGGCAAAAACGGATTAGTTTGACTCCGTTTTCATTTGAATACGGAGTAGTGTGAACGGGCCCTCAGAAAGTTATAATTCTATAATTAAATACCAACAAAGTAATTTACATTCATTTACGGCATGCTCTTTAAGCCTTCTTTCTATAGATAATTATAATGTTTACTTTTAGGGTGTAGTCATTGCAAAAAGATGAAACCGGAGTACATTGAAGCAGCTAAACGAATGAAGGACGAAAATGTAAGTAAAGTTGTTCCTTCTTGTTATTAAGAATCGGCATGCCAAATAACCAATGTTTTTAATGCATTGTCCCCTGATTTTTCTTTGAATTCCTACTTTTAATTTACATAATCGTGGATCAGTTTTAACAGAAATCTATATTTTGGTGTTGGACCCTGTTTATATTATAGGGGTAGATATCTGGTTGAGTTGAGTTGTTGCGCATGGCTATCTATACAAAATTATTGTAGTCTACAAGGCAAAGAAACATTTTTGCTGCCAACGTCAGTTTTATTCCTTTTTTTACGACCAATGACCGCGATAAAGATAATTTCATGAATGTCTCAATATGAACTTTTTGATGTTTTTTGTTGTCTGCTCATTGCATGGTGTCTGTTCATTGCATTTAGGTTGATGGAATCCTTGCAGCTGTTGACTGCACCAAAGAACAATCTCTAGGGAAAAAATACGATATTTCTGGCTTTCCGACAGGTAATTGAAAAATACCACTGTGCTTTCGAATCGATACCGGCTGATTACAACTTAGGTTTATGAGGACCTTAAAATTTCCATTTTCACTTGTTGAGCCTCGAGAATGATTTACCTATGTATGCTTAAAATGCGTATTGAATTTGTTTGTTTTGAATAATTTGCATAAAATTTCTTACTCTTATCTTTTATCGCTCAAAGTTAACTTTCTTACATATTTTTTATTCTCCTTTTAGTGAAATATTTTAGGTGAGTGGATTTTGTTTTTACGGTTTTTCATAAGTGATAGGAACTTTGCACAAATTATGGATTACTGAAGAAGTAAAAACTGGTACATTTATTCCAGTTAAAAATGACCTAAAGTCGTCAGCTGTAGAAACACTTTTTTAAACAGATTTTTAAACAAGCAGGTGTGTATTCTGAGAATATACATTATACATTTGCCAATTATAAGACTTCTAACTTTAGAGATTGAAGTTACGTCTGTGTATCAGTTGAACCTGGTGACTAGCTTAACATGCCACATCTTTTCAACTTTAAGGGATATGCCAAAGAATCACCGGCAGCTACAAGCCCTCCATTTATAAATTTCACCAAGCGAAAACCAAATCAATTTTTCCCGTAATTTCTTTGCTGCTGTACAGCTGCCTTCCCTCAGAGGAAAGTAACTCATGGGGTAGGGGCGGGAATTGGAGGGGTGGAATCAAGTTGTTGATAAATTCTCAGTTTAAACACAGCCTTAGAGCTTTTGTCGGTATATTTGATCATTTTTCAGCAATTTTGCTTGTATTTGCCGGTTTTGCCCCCTTCTCATATCTGAAAAATGAATTTCTGCCTCTGAATTCAGGTGTCCGACGAATGGATGTTTCGCTGTACATTCAAAATTTTGTATTGGCTATTACTTTTTCTACAGTTGTGTCACAATTACTGAGCAGATTGATTTTTTTCTTATTTCCTTTTCATTTTAAATTCCACATGTGACACTGCACTGATTTTTCCCAACTGTTCAATGTTTTTTTTACAGCGAAGGCGAATTCAAATATACAGTAAGGGAGAGAACAGCTGACAAAATCGTGGATTTCATGAAAGAGTAAGCCAAAAAGTTTTGCGTTTATATTGCTTTCTAGGTTTTTCTTCCTATTGGAAATTTCCAACTATTAAAATTTTCTCTTTTGTTTATATCGTTAAGTGTCTACCTTGTTTCTTTGTTTCTCTTCCCTTCAAAGCTAGACTCTTGTCAATATTTTCTTAGCACCTTTGTAAAGAAAATCCAGACTTATCCTGAATTCTTTTAATTCTAATTTAGTATTCAGTTTATTATTTTATTTATTCAGTTCAGTTTACCTAGCCAACAATTTTCTTTTAGCAAATTATTCCCGTCTACATTTTCATTTTTTTGTTGTTATACAATTTTCTTCAGAATAAACCTTTGAAAACAATTACGTTTTTCTTTACAACAGCCCAAAGGAGCCTCCACCACCACCCCCACCAGACCAACCCTGGAGCGAAACATCTGGCAAAGAGATCCTTCACCTCGATGACCTCACCTTTAAAGATTCTCTAAAGAAACGAAAGCATGTTCTTGTCATGTTCTATGCACCATGTATGTCATATTACTGGCTTAGTTCAAATTTCACTGCTACCAAAACTTAAACAAATAAAAATTTTTAAAAACTTCAATAGTAGACATAACAAATTCTAGCAACAAAATTAAAACCATTTACTGAACGCATCTCATTTTGGTTTCGTATTCTTCAGGGTGTGGGCACTGCAAAAAAGCAAAACCAGAATACGAGAAGGCAGCCTTAGAGTTTGTTGACGACAGAAAGGTATCCAGTCTTTCTCTTTGCAAAATGACGTCATATTTAATTCTTTTTAGGAGCGATTCCATTTAGGAGCAAACATATTTTTTATTTTCAATTATTTTTCAGGTGACATTTGCTGCGGTAGATTGTACGATCAGTCAAGCAACATGCGAATCATTTGATGTCTCTGGGTATGATTTCAACTTAGTTTCATGCGATAGTCATTTGCATTTAGCTCAAGTTATTTGCTAGGGTATAGCAATAGGGTTTCGGGAGAGGGCGGCTGGGCAGCTCTGATTGCCATATGTATTCGATTTTAAGCTAACCTTGATTATAAACTGTACACACAAAACCATGCAGAAATACTCGGTGTGAAATTGTAGACGCAAAAAAATGCCATATGTTTGAAAAATTCTAAGTGTAAAAATAGACAGAAGAACTTCAACCAAAAACTATGTGGTCAAGCATGGGATTCAAGGTAACAGGAAAGCTTGGTGGGATCTGGATAAAAAATGTAGGCTGTCCCCGTTTATAAGCCGCTCTTGCTTTTAAAACCTAGCAAAACGGGTCTAAAATAATGATAATAATAATGCAAAGCCGCACCTTGAGATCGAACAAATAAGGTAATACAGAAAAGTAGTAGTTTTCTATTTCTTCCTAATGGTAATTGAATACTTTTTGGTCCCGAGAATCCAACTCCCTGTTATTTCCATTCTACATTTCTGTGATTCTACATGTAGTTTAAACTTGTCTTGTAATTTCCAGCATTGATATCATTTGAGAAAAAAAAATCAAGCTTCCTGGACTTTTATCTCATGCTTCTATATTCCTTAAAGCTATCCAACATTTAAGTACATAAACTATGGAAAGAAAACATTGGATTACCAAAGTGGAAGGGAGGTTTGTATTATGTTATATTTGATAATGTTGGCTGTTTTCTGACTTACATCTTGTTTTCCTTCTCATTTACCACAGGTTATCCAAATAGCTTTGTCACGTTTGTTTAGCCGAACTTTGTATTTTTAAACCCACTGTTTTGTTTTTAATCACCACTACGATTGTTAGTTGATGACATCTAAGAATCGAGTATTTAAGTTAAAAGTTGTCACTTCTTCTCGCGTAACAGCCAAAATACCCTTCTTTGCAGACGAATGATTTCATCAATTTTATGAAAGATCCAAAAGAAGGTCCACCGCCGCCACCTCCAGAGAAAGAATGGTCTGAGCATCCAAGCAAGATTCATCACCTGTCTGATAACGATTTCGATTCATTTATGAAAGATCACAATTCAGTTTTGGTCATGTTTTATGCCCCATGTAAGTTGTCTCTTTTGGACCATCGCTTTCTAATGGCGAGATGTAATTGATTATAAAGTTGCATTATGAATTTCATATTCTTTGTTCCTATTGAAGCTTAGAGAATAATTTAATATAAAGCCAAGCTAATACCGTTCTATTCAAATATCCATTGAATGGGTAGTTATTGAAATATCAGACAAATTTGCAGTATTTTTAACTCCAAAGCGCAACAAAATGGGTAAAACTTTATCATTAGCTGCTATTCGCTTTTCTGCATCGAGGATCTATGGCATGAATGCAAAGAGAAAGCTTGATATTTTAATGAGGCACTATGTATTTTGCTATTGCTAATCGTTAAATTGCGAAATGAGCTATCGTACTGAAAACACTCCTTTAATTTATGGATTTTGTAATAAAAGTGGCATATAAGAATGTTTAGTGTGCTCTTGATGTAGATTTCTTTCCTCGAAGGGTGTGGTCATTGTAAAGCAATGAAGCCAGCATATGAAGAGGCCGCAGAAGAACTTCAAAGTCAAGGGGTGAGTGATTTGCTCTGTTCTCGTTCCAATTCTACGATATCTCCCCAAAACCATTTTGTAGATTTTTCACTTGCTGAGCCTTTTAGTCTATATTTTATACATTAGCGGTCATTCATAGGTTTCATTCATGAAAAAGGTTTTTTATCTATTCTTTATTTTTGTAGCCCTTAGATTGAAAACTTAGATGATGATTAGTCAATCAAACCGTGAACTATTAGGTTGATCCACACAACTATGATGTGCAGTAAATTTGGGGTATGAAGCAGCAAAGTATCAAATGAAGATCAGGATATTTAGTTATCTTTCTTTGCAATTTATGCTATTACTGTTAACTGTAAGCATATTTCAGGCCTCTGGAGTCCTGGCAGCAGTCGACTGCACCAAAAACTCAGCTTTACGTGACAAGTATGAGATCAAAGGATTTCCAACTTGTAAGTTATTAGAACAGGCCCTATTTTCTGAGCTTTGACTTTGTTAAAGCTATTTTACAAGTGTAGTTATAACCTATTTAAATTTATGCATGCTGTGAAACTTGTTCTCTAATTTGTTGCATATTAAATAACTTGGTTTGTCATCAAAACTAAAATAAAGAAGTAGAATTTACGTCTGCGATTCTTATATCTTTTATTGTATCAGTTAAGAGCGATTATGGCATACAAAAAGATTTGATTCACCATAAACGTAGAAAATATTTTAGGAATGAGGTAAAAAATTAACTACTAGCTGCCTACTCATGGCTCTTCACACTCACTGTGAACCGTGACTATAACACAACATTTACAGAGTTCCGGCAATAGGAGTCTAATAATAATCTCAATTTCTTTTAAAGCCTGAGGATTTCTTTGGAATAATCAAGTTTAAACGTGATGAGCACTCTTTCTTAGATCAATTGTTCATTGTGAAACTTTCGTCTCTGCAACAGAAATTATTCTATTAAGTTATTTTTTAAGAACGCAATCTCAAAGAAGAATGTAGCTAATTTTATGATTGAGAAACTCGAAATGAAAACATTTACTGTGTCTGATCTTCTTTTTCTTTCAATTTTAGTGAAATACTTCAGGTTAGTATATTTGTCACATTCTTTACCACTAAAAGAAAATAAAAACAAGAAATAAAGACATGTTTTTACTAAATTTTTTTAATGAAAAGAAAGAGTTAGAAATAAGTTTAATTTGTTGACATTTTGGAGATGAGTTAAACTAGTTATTGTTGAGCCTGTAGGACAGACATGTTGTTTATCGTGCAACCTTAATTAGCTTTGTAAGATTTTCTTACTTTCAGTCGCTTTGTTCAAACTTTTATCTTTTTCTAAAATCTCGTTTAAAGCATTTATGATGCACTCGCGTTTCTTTGTTCTGGAGTTTAACACGACCTAATGTCAGTATAGATTTGCTAGCATATTTTTAACTATTTAGAAACGGAGAATCGAAGGTCAAGTACGAAAGTGGACGCACGAAAGAGAATCTTGTGAAATTCATGCTCAAGTAAGTAAGCATCAATTAAGGTTTTGTTACACTATCATTCATCATTCCTTCATCAGTCGATTTGATATCTCTCGTCGGATACAGAATCTATTATCAGATATTGATAGTTTTCAATATTCTTTTGTGGACTAAAGCATACACTCTTTTTTCGTGCATAGCTGAAGCACAATTCGCAATATTAACGCATACGATCTCTTCATCCTTCAGACAATTCAATATTGCGACTTTGTATTGATTGCCATATCATGCAGTGGCGACAACTCCCATGATCTTGAATTCAAAATATTCTCCACTGATTTTTCTTTGTAGTCCAGGCAAAGCAATCCCACCTCCTGCAACAGACTGGAGCGAAGAATCCAAGCATGTCGTTTTTCTCACTTCAAATACTTTTGATGAGTTTGCAAAAGACAAATCTGATATGCTGGTGATGTTTTACGCTCCTTGTAAGTAATAACTTTTTCATCGAAGTTGGATGTTGTTTTCTTTTTAATTATCTTTCTGAACTGTTCTGCCTATATTTCTTTATAAAATCTTCATCTCTTTTAAACTATGCTTGGCAATTTTTTGCCCATTTACTTCATTCTGAAAAGGTATATGCAAAGATAATTTTCTTTTTAATGTTGTTTTAAAGTTATGCCAGAGAGATTATGACAAACCAAAATAGTTAGGTCCATTTTCACTTTTACCTCATAGATGTCATTCCTCTTTCATTAGATTTCAACATTTACCATTTCCTTGCATATCAACAGCAGGACAATTTTACCATCTTCCCTACTTAGGGTTGCATCTTTGACATTTAAATGCGAATTTTATCATTTTTAGGGTGTGGCCATTGCAATAAAATGAAACCTGCTTATTTCGAGGCAGCTAAAGTACTGAAGGAAGACATGGTAAATTTGCCTATAAATTTTTTGCTCATATTCTTAAACTATTTCTACATTACTGGAAAGGCCACAGACTTTTGTGAAAGTTTTGTAAGCACCCAAATTCACTTGTTTTATTTTCATATGAATTTTATCTGTATTCTTTTGATTATTTGGTACTTTTTTCCAAAAGCCTGATTCGGTCCTGGCTGCCGTGGACTGCCAGGCAAATCCAGATGTTGCCGAGAAATACCATATCAAGGGATTTCCTACACGTAAGTTTATATGTTCAATACGAAATTAAAGAACACTTCTTCAACTATCAAAACAGTTTGGCACGTTAAAAGTTCGGGTTTGACGTAAATAACGTCCTTTGTGTAGAGGATGGCATCTATGTGGAATAATTGATATTTTCGGAAAACCAAGATTCGAATATTCGAGCTTCCGATAACCAAGATTCAGATAATCGAGATTCTGATAACCAAGATTCTAATGATCGAGATCCAGATAATCAGATTATGGATAATAGCGGAGCAATTATTGTTCATTTTAGTTTAGATTTCCATGTCTATATTTTTCAGGGTTGAACGTTATTTAATCTTAGGTATAAGCAATTCAGTTATCTCATTATTATTTTTGAGATTGTGTTTCAAGATGTGAGATTGTGTTTCTAGACCACGACCGTAAAATTCATTCCCGCTGCCATTCTTTTACTATAAAATACACTGTTATAAGTCTTTACGGCCGATCTTAAAAATTTGCTCGAATATCTTGTTTCAAATCGAGAAAAGAATTCTAGTTATTTAAAAGAAATGAAATTTTATCATTTTAATCTGAGCCTTGTTTAAAAATTTCTTTTTAATTTTGCTATATTTTCTTGTATTGTATCATCAAATCAGAACATCATATCATATTTCGTAGTGACATATATTGACAAACCTTTCGTTTATTTGCAGTGAAATTTTTCAAGTAAGTGATGATTCTTTCTTTCAATCCTTCTTTTCAAACTGTGGAATCAAATGTAGAATACTAATTGCTTTCAATTTATTGATTAATTTTGAAAAGAAAATATTTTTGATTATGCTACTAGAGTAGAATTTACTTAGTGAATAATTACATACCAAGTGCTATTAATATGTCCAATATTATGAAGCAATAAAATTCGAGCTGTATTGAACATAAGGACTATTTATAGAGGTGCAAAATAAATGGGGAACACATCTTGTTGTTCCTTTACCCTCCGATCCTAGGAGCTCATTTCATCATCAAGAGTACAGTGTTTTTATGTCAGCTAATTTTGTTCCAAGCTGTCAAGCTGAGTATAATTGAATATTTGTCATTTAGAAATGGTCAGCATGCTGCTGATTATGAAGGAGGACGCGGCATCGATGAAATTTTGGATTTCATGAAAAGGTGAGTGATAGCAGAGTGGTAGATGTTAATATATAATGCTACATTATGGCGGTGTTTAGGCTTCTTTAGGTTGGATGCAGGCTTTTTGGCAATAATAAAGAAGTGCTTAAATATTATTTTAGGAGACAAACTCAATAATCTAAGGAAAAATTTAGGGGTAAGTTTTTAGGGAGAATTTTTTCCCTACCACGAAAAATTTAGGGACAATTTGTTTGACTGTCTAGATTGTGCTATGAAGTCAGTCTAAAGACATTCAACGACCCAATCAGTTCCTATCCACCACTAATATTTTGCTGGTTTGCACTACCTGAGCGATTTGAAATAGCTATTGAACAATAGTATCCATCATTGCCTCGCTTCATTTCTGTAATGAAATGAAGTACTAAAGCATGAGATTAACCCGTTCCCCAACATAAACGATAGTAGAATTTATGACGTTGGAATTGATAAACTCTTTAGAAACAATAAGTACTGAAATTTTTCGATAGCGTACAATCCGATGTGCCCTTTTGTACGTTAAACATGCCATGTGTTAAAATGAACAAATGATCCTTTTTCATCCCTTTTAACTAAACTGGACGATTTCCATTTTCTTAGAGAGAATAAGGGCAAAAAGAGTTCACCCGCAATAGACAAAGAAAAATGGAGTAACCTCCCTAGCTCTGTTGTTCATCTGACGGCCGAGAACCTTGACTCCGCACTTTCCAGCAGCGAGCATTCGCTTGTCATGTTCCATACATCAGGTCTGTAAATACGCTGTTTATTTCGTTTTTTTGTAGATTCGTTTTAGAATAGGTCTTTAAGTGTTACACAAATCTGGCAATAATGTATTTCTTTGTACGAAGTTTGTAGTTACAACCACTCAAGCCTCTTTCAAACAACAGTTGTTGTACAGGTTTAGTATACCCTGCCATCGAGTTTTAGGCTGTTCAATGATTGCTACCAATTCTGTTCTAGGCTGTTCAATGATTTCTATATTCTAAGCACTATATTGACCTAAATTCCTTGTTATGTTTGCATCAAGCTTTCTCTTGTATTTGTTCTGAAATAATGATGTAATTTCCTCTTCATAGTTTGCCAACAATGTTATAAAATGAGACGTGACTACATGAAAGCAGCCTCCAGAACGGTTAGTAAGAAGTTCAAGCTAGCCGCACTGGACTGTGATGATTACTCAGGTAATGCCATTTGTGTTGTGTTATCTGTAGAAGACTATGTTACATCTCGACAGCTGTAAAAATTTGAACCTGACTACAGTTAGGCCACTTGAAGTCACACGGCCACTTGTTAATGGTGACATGCAGACGTTAGCTGTAAACAGACTTTTCATTTATACCTCGTTCTGACGCTAGTCAATGTAGCCTTCCCTCTCTTGGTTACGGTTCTCGCAATCATTTTGTTATCATAATGATTTTTCTGGTTTTACCAGTTTAAGTTTTAAATGAATAAGTTACCTAAAGATGTTATTGTTTGCCCTATTCTTGTGTGAATTTTCCGATAGAATTAACTTAAAAGTACCACACAGTAGAAGAGTTTCTTACAGCTTTGAGTAAAATATCCTTTGAGCATTGTCCAATCTGTTATGAAAATATGTCGATACCCCAGGAAATGCTACTATCCCTTGAATATGCTTTATTGTTTGTTCTAGAGTATTGCAAAGAAAACAAAATTGCGAACTTCCCCGTCGTCCGATATTACTTCAAAGGAATTCACATTGAAGATGTTACTATCGATAATAACCCATCACCAGAGCTATTCATACAGTTCTTGGAAAAGAAATCACACAAAGATGAACTCTAGACTGGACCCATTTAGTTTTTCAATTTGTTACATGATTCCAGATTTTAATATTTTTCAAGATTTTGATGAATGAAACTTCTTGTTAATCTCTTCGTGGCATTTTTTGTAATTAGCCTTAAACTGACATCTGAACAAAACAGAAAGGCTTAGAAAACCACCTCATAGGCCAATTGAAAAATTCATAAGTGCCAATGAACTTTTTAAAATTTTTCTTCCGTTTAATGAAGATATGATTTATTATAACAAGAATTTTTACCGCAAATGAAAGTCCCCTTTTTGCTCTCCAGTTCTCATAAATTTGGTTTAAAGATGGAGAAGCTAAAAATCTTTCATGATTGCAAGAAATGTGATAACATAGCTATTGTTTGTTTTATTGGAATAATATTTGTTATAATCTAGAAGATGTTGTCACATTTCATTTCTAGAAATTTGCGAATTTCTTGCAAATAGAGTGAAGCGAATTCTCTCTCAAACTCAGCACGATTGTAGACGCGATCAAGGACTACTAGCAAAAAGGATGCATCACAGATTGATTTTACTCTTAGTTGAAGAAAACATCTTATTGGAATAATACCACATGGCCTCCTCTGCTTGTAATTACACACCATCGGAGTTGTTTTGTTTAGGGTAGCGCCCGTCGTGGGCCCAGCTAGATACGGACCAAGAACGCTAAACAGCTGCATCGCGTTTGATTGGTTTGTTTGTTTTTCACCAATCAGCGAACGCTAACCTCTAAACTACTTAAAGAATCCAAGGGAGAAAACGAACTTTTCCTGTCTTTACAAGTCGGGTTCCTTTGTTTTGATATACACAAAAAAAAAGACCTAAATAAAAAGATGACCTTACCTGTCCAGTGATTTTGAAACTGTTGTCAGTTTAAGTTTTTGCACACTCTGAATTTGTGCGCAAAGGCGCAGTTGCCAAATCATATTTCATTTGGGCATTCTGACTTGGTTGCTGCCACAGCCTCTGCGACGGAGAGTGTACTGGCAGGAACTTGCTGCTTCATTCTATCGACAATTGCTGACCAGCGCATACCGAGCTTCAAATCCTTAATGGGGCTCACTTGCTCTGATTGATGGCATGAATTTTCTCTAACTGATGGCACGAAGTTTTCAAATAGTCGTAAAAAGCCAAGAAAAGAAGATAGCTTAATGTTATGAACCTCGTCACAAATTCTTGTACTAAATATTATATAAACCCCAAACTTGGAAATAAAAGGTTTTCACTATAAGTGGAGTTGCAAGGAAATAATTCCATAAGCACTGCATCCCAATATCTTGAAAAAAAGATTTATTTGGAAGCAAAACGTTTGAAGCAAGTTCCAGCAAAGCCCAGCAAAGAAATACAAGATCCTAGAATCACTGAGAATGCCAGAAAACAAAGTCGCATTTCATTTAGAGATAAATTGTGCTATTCATTTTGATACGTTTCTTACATAAAGTAAATAATTTTACAACTATAAAACTAAACATACTTTGAAAAAATGTTACATAATTTTGATTACAATAAAGTCGCCTGCAGTATAATAACTAAATTTGAAATTTTAATAAAACTGTTACAATTGTAGCCGAAAACATTTTTTTTTTAAATTATTCCATTTATCAGTTTACAACCTTCGCATAAAAATAAGTAGTGTTCTAATCTTCTTTGATAATGCTGCAAGCATAAGTTTTGCCAACATATTCTTTACTGCAATGATATGTCCACAAAGGAACAGCTCCAAGACCAGAGTTTCTTTAAGTTTTAATAGGTGATGTAGTTTTTATAAAGTACTTTTTTTGAATTCATTCACGATTTTAGATTGTTGTTTTCGCTATAAGATGATTGAGAATAAGTGTGCACTAAATAACAGTTTTATAGAAAGTATTGCCAAATGTTTATCAAGCTGAAACAGGGCCGAAAAAGGCCATTCCGTACCCCCACACTCCCCCCCCACGTTCCGTAATAAGCTACGTGGTCCTAGCGCTAAAATACTACTGAATACAACTTGAAAAAGCTACTCATATTGTATAATACGATGTTTGCTGTTTTGTATAATACTCATTGGTAAAGTGTGAGCGGCACAGCAGCATAACTTCCTAAGTAAGTGACACCCATAGCGATAGGATCCTATCTCTTTGGTCACACTACTATAGATAAGAAATAGCTATATAAATTCTAAGTGGAGATTTGAACAAATAAAAATTAAGGGGAACCAAGGCTAAATGCTGGGTATGTTCTGTACTTAACGATACAAATACTAGGATGTGTCCCTAGTTGGAAAATATTTCTTGTACACAGAGTTGTCGACTAACTAGATGATTCAAATTTTCCGCAAGTAAACAAAAATAAAAAGGAATGACTTCGGAACTGAAAGGAATCAGGGGACGAAACCTTTAGTCCTTTGTTTCGAAACAATACCGTCTTAACCAATCAGTGTCGCAGTGTCATGGCACATGCGCATTAGTATTCGCACAGCTGTTTTGTCTGTGAACACACAATTCTTGATCTTTTCGCCAGGGTTTCAAGTGACAATACGCATGCGCAATGAGCCCGAAAAGGAAGACCGGTCTGGTCGGTGCATATGCAAGTGCATGGTCTGGAAGACGGGCAGGATTCATCTCCCGAACAATGCTACATCAAGATTGGGTTATAATTCTAAGTTAATGTTGTACTTCATTAGCTAAAAAAGGAATTTTTGGATAAAGTACCAAATATAAAAAAACCTTTAAAATTGAGTATTTGACTTCAGTGATGTTTATTCAGTGAATGTGGCAGCAAATGACATTACTGATTTTACATGCTTGTGGTAGTTTGACTAGAAATCAAATAAGGTACTTCTGTATTACGATGCCTCTAAATAGCTAACATTCCTACATGTAGTTTGACAACAGCTTGGTTCATGGAAGACCAGGTACATTAGTTAGGCTATGTTTATGATGGTTGGTCACGTATCAATGCGCTTTGTGAAGTTTTCTGGGAATACACCCTTGAGGCCGGATGAATCGAGTATGCCCATGAGCCAGCCTTCGTCCTAGAAGCAAAATAATTCGTTCAAAATAATCATCATATAATACTCGGAATGCAATACTTCTAATAATATTCTACTCTTCAAACCCATCGGCTAAATATTTCAAAAGTTTTATCATATCAAAATAGTAAACATTAAATTAACAAAGATACCGAAGGTTTGACAAGCATAATGTTGACATAGCTACCAAGACAAACAAGTTCACAAGGAAGGTGGTCATATCTGTCTCGCAGATTTTTCACAGATTTTTCGCAGAATTTCCGTCCCTTGACTCAAAATAGTTCTAAAGGCGAATCACATCAAAATTCAACTCTATGAAGCAACTTTGTTGATTACGGCTATTATGTTGATTATTCTAAGACCCACCTGTTCTTCAGGGTCGTCATAATCTACCACGTGTACTAGCTCGCCTTTTTCGAAAGCCAATTCATCCTCGTCTTCAGGCGTGTAAGAGTGAGTGGCTATGACCTTCGAAAAATAAATTCATTACTAAACTGGAATTTTTCTCACAGAAGTATCGAATTCGGAAATTATATCACCTTTTGTCAACATCTGCTCGTCACATAACGTGACCTTCTTCGCATTTCCACTACTTATAATAACGAAAATTAAATAACGAAATTATCAGTAACGAAAACGCACAGCTGAGCAGAAAATGGGAAAGTAGAAAAGTAAAGCAACATGCAAGGTTATAGAAAAAACAATAAATTGAAAATCTTTGTTGGAAAGGGTATTGACAAAACTTTCACAAATTTGGAAGCTTGTCAAGACAAGGAAATTCGGTGGGTAAGAGAAGATCCCGGTCGAGTTATGGCGGTAACGATGATTGTTGTAAAGTAACTTCGCAAATACAGCATCTGCCAAGGTCTATTCTGCGCTCTCCCCAGGCTTTCTATATAGCACGTGCGATGAGGTGTGATTTTGTAGTTTTGTTTGTTGATCAGTTTTTCGGTGTTTTTCGGTTTTTGAGTTAAGCATGAGTGATGATGAGAATGTTCCTGATAATTATGTAGTGATTTCTCTTTGGTCAAATATTCTCAAGCCACACGGTTTATAGTTTACATTAATGATCAATACAATGCGCTCTGAATATTACATAAATACATAAAGTTTAAATAAAGTTTAACAACGATAAGTTGGACCAATAAGTATTTACTCTACCTACCTTGTACCGGCTCTGCGGAACAATAAGATTACAATGTGTAGGGCTACTTGAAGAATTTGGGTTTCTATACACAACACATTCTTTTTCCACTGTTTTTTCTTTGGACTGAGCTTCTGAATTACTCTGGGTGACACTGCTTGGAGCTGGAACGGGCTCTTTCTTCGATTCCTGGAAAATATTGACAGTCTTCACTATCATGCTGCACATCTTAACTTATCAAATAAAATCATTTACCAAAAAACACAAATGAATCATTCTATTACGTATTAAACCTGGGTCAGCGAATAATGAAAAGATGGGAATTCTTAAAATAAAAAACAAATCTAAAATAATTACCACAAACACATCACAACACCCTTAGAAGTGATGGCACGATGACGTCTTCAAACAAAAGAAGGTTTCATAAAGTGGCTTAAAATATATATCATTGTCTTTTTCCAGCCAAACCTGTCAATTTCCCCAAAGAAAAAAACATCGAATCAGTGATCTATGGCGACATTTAATGGGTAGATGGGCTCCAAAATAAATTCCATAGTTCCAGCAAATTCAAGGGGAGAAATTAAGAAACAAACAGCCTTGGAAATCTTTTTTTTACCTCAGATGGTTCGTCATCCTTTGCGTTTTCAGGCTGTGCTTTGGTTTTGGCGACAAGTGGAGGGCTTACTGCTGGTTTGGATGGCGCAGGCCTAACAGGGGCCGGTCGAGCTGGAGGCGGAGGAATTTCTTGATCTTGGGTTCCTTGGCTCTTTTCCAATCCGTTAATTGTATCTGTTTCTCCTACAAGGAAAAGGATTTCTTTAAAATTGCAGCCTTTAAAATGATACTCTAAAATTGATCAGAATCTGCACGTTCTTATGTTAGGCAAAAAAAGAAATATCAAAATTTAATGCGACGTAAATGAGCTAGAAACCAGCAACATTTGTCATTAATAAAATACAGCCTTGCCCAACCTGCACTCTCGCTGTCCTCATCTTCTCCTGGAACAGCAACATCATAAAACGTAGCTAAACTCCCTTCTGGTTTTGGATCAATCGGGGTAATGGTAGAGATTTCTTGCTCATCGTCCCTGAATAACAAAGTTGCGTTACCTTACAATATAAATCAAGGGTCATAGACTAAACTCATGCTTGTGACTGCTCATTCAAACTAGTCAGAGCTTCTGAAGCCCATTTCAACAGTCAACGCGAGTTGAGCTCCACCCTAGGCTGAGTTTCCACCAGATGTAATAATGTCTATGAGAGAATCTTAAATCGGGGGTGAATTCAACTCGCTTTCTCAACCCACACTGGAATTCGCACAAGGAGATTTGCAACTAAACGACCAGTTTCCTCAACCCGGACAAGTTAAGGAATTTGAATAAACAAAGACTCTAGATAAGTGGTGAAAACTGTAAATTCAACGTTCTCAATTTCATGGTGTCAGTGATTGACGATTATGGATATTGAATAAAAGTATACAACAACATAATGCCGGCATACCTTGTGAATGATTTTTTTGTACTGTATGTTCCAGCAGAGACATCTTTAATTAGCTGATCCATCATATCATTTAATTGATTTTGAATCTTTAAATATAAACAAGGAAATAATATATAATGAAAATAATTACAACAAAGTTATTTAGAAACCACGTAACAAAGCAGTAAATTAAATGCAATCGAACTATCTGGGACTTATCTTTGTTTCTAGAACTACAGAGGTTCTGACCATGATTTTGATGTAAGGATTTTCTAAAGATTAAAATCTAGCTTTTTACTGAAGCATGCTAAATTTTTCTAGCGTTTATAAGCAACATTTTAATCTCCGTCTTACGATTGGTCATCACCGATATGCATATTAATATTATCATATTAAATATCATATCACAGATAAATCATATTAAATAAAAAGAGATTTATAGTATTAAAACTTACCCTAACACAATCTCGATGAAAAACTCCTTCTAAGGTGAATACGCTTTGGAAGCATGACACATAGTAACCAATACGACTGTTAAATCAAACAAACAAAATATAATTCCAATCTGATACAAAACATATTCAACAATAACAAAAACATAAAACAACAACAACAACAAACATGCAAACAAATAGCAATGAAGTTGTGCGTGTTGTACGTCGAAAATGAACAAAATTTGGTACAATAAAATAACGACTTTGTACAAGAAATGAATAATTGATATGACGTTTCGAGTATAACCTGATGAAGAGCCTTTATAAAGAAGAGCCTCTATAGGAAATTACTCCTTAGTTGCTACATGCAGGCTTTAGATTAAACAATAATATAAAATTTAATTTTGCATCCCTATATGATTACTTCTATGAACTGTTATTAACTAATGTTATATCTGCAAATAACAGCACACCCTCTTACAACTTCAAATGTTTGGATACAAACAAATTTAATATTAGATGTATGAAAATATAAAATCGAAATCTTGAAAAAGAAACATAGTTTACCTGTCATAAAGTGCTGGAAGCTCATCATAAAGTTCAGATGTCAGTTCTACAAAAATTGATTTCGCTTTTTGGTAATCATCCTCTGCCTATAGAAAAGTGTGTGGTTATATAAGTGCACCTTTTGGTTTAAAACAGAGCAAAAAAAATTTGTGACAGTCATGCTTTCTTTGACCACAAAATCGCCAAACAAACGCTTCTCAAAGACTTAAGGACCTTAAATGGCGAACAATACTTACCAGTTGTTGTAGAAGTACTACCATACTCTGATAGCCAACATATATCCATCTTTGGGAAGCGGTACTCTGCTCTTTGCAAGCCCTGTTCTTCATCTTTGGCCATTTCAATTTTAGGAAGGGTTTACTATCTCACTGACTCATCATATACTACATTAAATTCAGAGTTAATACCTTGTTTTCAGAATTATGGCTAAAACCTAACAAGGGCTATACCTAACAGAAAGTTAGAAATGGTGACAGCTTTGAAACAACATTTCTATATTGCTGAAAATATTAGATTCATAGAAAAGTGGAATCAGTTACCTGAGAAAGCTTTTTTGCATCTGCTGTCTTTGCAGTTCCTTTTGCTCTAAGTGTCTGAAAATCACAAAAAACAATTACAACTGATTTTTTACAGTTTATTGCAATTTTGATATTGTTTTGTTAAAAAACAATGAGCTGGTGACTAGCAAAGCAGATATTAGTTTGAAAAAGGGTAATATCTTAAAGACCTGTAAAAAATGTAGAAAAAATGGAACACCACAATGCTTAGAGAACAAGCAACAGTGAACACAAGTAAACTTAAGGTAGCTAATACTTCTTTGCCCCGGCACAATGGGCATCATCAGAGCAAAAGAAAACGCACTTGCTGTTTGTTCTTGATGCCTTGTCGTGTTTCTTATTTTCTATATTTAATATCAACAAGCATTTTTACCACAAGCATTCATTGAAGGCCAACGAGCAGCCTGCTGCCATGGTCATTCCTTCATCTCCATAAAATTAATCATTGCCATATTTTTTTAAGATGGCAGGTTCTCTGATTTCTTTCAAGCTTATTTATACTGATCACTAAACCCCTTGAAATATCCCATTTAGCATTAGCAGAAAATACTAATTAATGAGTTTTAAAACCCCATTTTTATGCTTTTTTATTGCAATGCTCTGAAAGTTGGAAAGATGCCTCTAAATACTGAATTAAAGTAAGCAATACAGAGAAATCTGGATAAAAAATTTCAATGCAAATTATGCAAAATGCAGGAAGAATATGCTATTAACTCATTTTGAGAAATAGTTGGTTACTCACATCTACAACATGACGACAATGATCATAGTCAACCCTCTTCCTACCTCTTTTGGAAATTTTTGTCTATAAAGAAATTTGAAGATTTCATTTACATCCAAAGCTTTTATCTAAAACATGATTCTACTTTCTACTCTGCTATCTAACCATAGAAAGTCCCTGCATGTATAAAACAAACATAAATTAAACTGGAGCCTGTCAGCATAGAGAACATTGTCTCCTCTTTGAGCAACTAGGCAACCAGACTTAAGTGATTTCTTATCAGTTATGCCAAATTGAAACCAACTGAACCAACCAACTGAATGGGCTCAACACAAAAAACATCAATACAGTACAAAAAACACTATCTCTATAAACAAATGTATTGCTGATATTGATTGCGTAATTTATAGTTGCCACAGAACTCCTTCACACAAAAAACAAACCTTCACATCAGCAAATGGCCTATGATAAGCTTCTAATGGCTCAAGAACTTCATCCTTTAGCCTTTGATTCAGAGTATGGAAATTGCTATCAAGCTCCTTCAAGTGAAATACATGTGAGAAGTAAATATAATATTCATATATTGGAATAATCTACACATATTCAAAGAAATTATCAATTCCTGTCATGAGATTTCTGAGGTCTCAACTGGAGACAAACCAAACCACAACATAGTATGACCTAAAATAAACTTACTGACATAGGCTTTTAAGGGACTGTTTAAAATAAATTTTAAAATTGACTACTCATGGTAAAAGCACTCCTGGTTTCCAAGATCTGCCAACATTTGACTATTAATAGATGTTTTTACATTACGTTATTACTTTGAGGGTCTTATGGTTTTGCAGAACCAATGTTAGCCATGGCGTCTAGTTTTGAATGATGTAATGGAATGAATTTTTTTATAAACAAATCCACAAATAATTTACTGGTGTATGTAATAGCAGAATCATTATTAACTGTCTTTCTTTCACGAAAATGCATCCTGATATACAGCTTATCAAAAATAGCATTATGTTAAAATAAAGGGCAAGTACTACTACCTAATTTCCTGACTTGAAATGTTACAGGTAACATGCATAACAGTTAATCACTTATGGTTGAGAAAAAGTCATAAAATATTACAAAATACAAACATCAAATAAATTGACAAGCTTCTCTCTGTCAGTCCAGGATGGTTCATAAATTTCTTTAACTGCCTCAGAAAAAGCATTGCTTGCAACTTGCATTGCTAAAACAGATGGATAAAGATAGAAATTAAAAAAACTGGCCAACAAACTTCTTACTGCACATATTGATCTTTAAATTTTTATATCTTCACAAGTGTTAGTTCACAGTAAATAAGTTGAAAAAATTCTAAAATAAAGCTGAAAAAAATTAAGAGGTTTCCTTGATCAAATTCAAAATTTTGCTATTACTATGCTCTAAAATGGTGCAAAGCTAATTATCTTACATGCAAGGCAATGCAGATATTGTTTCAATTCCTTTTGAAGTCTTGAAACTGCAGTCTGTATAAGTGAGAAGAGAAAATTGCATCAGCAAGAACCTAAAGTATATGATGACACAAAAATTCAAAAAACATGATCTTGCTACTAGAGGTTGAAACAAATGAGGATATGTTTATATTAAAAAGATTTAGTACATATAACAAGAGAATTTCGCGATTTTTTCCACTTTAATTTTTTTATTACAATAGAAAGTATTAAGCCTTTCTTTACATTGTTACTTACAGTGCAGAGTTCATAAATCACACTGATTTATATGACAAATTAATGGGTGAATTCAATAATGTTAATAATTTTCATGGAGTGACCAAGCCCCTGACAAAGGCCATGTAGAGCTATCAATCATAATCAATTAGTCATGTCTTAATCCGAAGGAAATTACACAAGTTGAATAAACAGGAAACTAATTAATCAGTTCTAACTCAAGCAAGGATGAATATTTTAAGAAAGCAAATACCTAGGGATAGTGACCAGCAAATGTGGCAAATAATTGAAATAACATACAGCTTTATCATTTCAAGACTTAGTATAAAGCATTTTTGTAAAAAACTGAATTTTTTCCAATTAAAATTTCTCTAGGACCGCAGAGCATAAAACGTTTTGGGGGAGTGAAACATGCTAAAAATCAACAGCAAAATGACTTTTTGTATGGTTTTATGTACATTCTAGAAACAGTTTGGGAGGCATAACCCCTTTAACCTCCCTCCCCCCACTTTTGTGTTCTCTGATACTGCCTAATCTTTACTTATGTCCACACAATTGTCTAGAAACATAAAAAATTAGGAAATTGAGGTGTAACTACCCTTCTTAGGGGAATTTAAATCATAAATTTTGCCATACCTTGGACAATTGACAGTGAGAGTTCTAGGTAATTTTGGGAACTCTTGATTTTAATATTTCTTATGAATGTAGCCTACTGATTCTTTTCTAACTAACTCAAGTATTGTTTCATTTGAAAGCCTTAAATTTGAAATTCCCAAATCTACAATTTTCTTTGTTAGAAATGTCTGGGTGTGCCAAATAAAACTTAATCACACCTGCTGTTTATTGAAGTTGCTAACAAATTCATCAAAAACTTCATCTTTAGTTTCATCCAATTTTCCAACCTTCTGCATAAACTGAAACACAATCAATAATTTATGGACAGAGATAAGAATATCTAACAAAAGCTAATCATACAATACCTCTATTAAACTTAAGATATTCAAGAAACCAACTTAGGCAACACTATCAACATTAACCTGGTGTTGGAATGCATCCAAAAGAAAAATCGTAAGATGTTATTGGGACTGTAAAAAGGGAGGGTATAAATATAAACCAAAATGGATAGAAAAACATTGAAACAGGGCTAATTTTATATCAATGGATTCTTTATAGGGGTATAATAATAAAGGTTAAGGCCTGAACTGTAAAAAATTTGTAATAAGAAGCTTCATGACTTTGGCATGGCGTGGCAAGTCTGCTGATTTCTCTAACTTAATCAGCACTTATGTGATGACATTAGTGCAGCTGCATGAACTTGACTTAACTTTCAGACAGAAAGTCAGAAAATTTTAGACTATCCCTTTTATTGATGTTGTTTTTACTGTTTTGATACTCTATATAAACATTACAACAATCCGTTCTAAAATCGTTTTAGAAAGCCTTAAAGTGTATTAAACTGGGAAAAGTCAAATAGAAAATTCACTGCGTTCTGACAAATATAGATTAGGTTAACACTTTCCCTTATATTTATTGGAGCCGCGGTTTTATGGGCCTAACTCAAGTCAAATAATCTTATCAAACATTCCTTAACTTACAAGCTTTACATACAGATTATTGAAACATAAGTACCTTTTCTTGGGCTCTTCGTGCTCTCTTTGTTGTGTAAGTTGCAGTTCTGGCCAAAAAGCCTTTCTCGCTGTTTTTTTCTGGCTTATCTGCCATTGTGCTTTGTACATTAAAGAGCAAAACTTCACAATGGATCACCTCACAGTGGTCATAAGTGCAAATGGAATGTTGCGCATGGTTCTCTGGTTTCACTTGGCTACCAATCTCAATAAACCCATGATCATAATCGATAGAAAAACACTTACAGGCTTTCTCGTGCAGCAGGTCTAAATTGGTATTAATTCTTTTAAAAGTTATATTGAAATTCTGCGTGCACTGGAGACTTAAAAGGGGAAGGAGAGTACCATCGTTATAGAAACAAATATGTCTTTTTGGGGATTCAGTTTTACTCCCTTACATATCAATAACTCGCAATTACTCCCTTACATATCCATAACATGTTAAATTTCTAAACTTTTAATGTTAATTCTAAAAAAATGGTGTTTAAAGCAGGGATTCTATTTAATGCAGCACTGTATTGCAGGGGCGGACACTTGCTCAAATATTGAGGGGCAATCCAGTACAGGCTAACTGTAACTGTCTGGTAAAGTCGTTTTAATAAGAAGACGTCAAACTTCCCCATTGTTTGGAACAAAAGTCCATTGTCTTCCAAAATATTCGGAGGGGGGCAGGATTTAGGATTCGAATTCGAAAACTGTTTTAACTTGAGCATATGTACATAATTTCTTGTTTAGTACAACGAGCATTTTAAGCTTGTTCATTATTTCACTCGCAAAATGACTTCTAGCCTTAGATTTTATCGCAGCAGTGTTATCGTTGTGACTGATTTCATATCTGGTTTTCAATTTGTGGGCTTTCGATACCCAATTGGGGAGCCATTGTTTGTGCCGTTCGAGGGCGTTTCAAATGATTTGCACACATACCTATCTGGTTCCAAATCAAAAAGGGGCTCAAGCCTGAACAAGAATTTTAAGAAATTTAAAAGTCGGTAATGCTTTCTTCTCTCTGTTTGCCTGGATCATTGCCTGTACACTGCTCTCTTTTATGCCGAGTTTATCTCACAGGTCACTGACCAAACTATGGCTGTTCACACGATTTCAAATCGGAGTCGACTTCTGTTCAAACGGTTTCATTACGTTCAGTACTGAGTGGTTAACAAGGCTTTACTCGCAGAGACAACAGAATATAAATTCATTGACCAGAATTCACTGCAGTAGTTGGAGTTTGGCATTACAAGAATTTATTCGCTCCCCCCCCCCCCCCCCCCATAGGATTGCGATTCCCGCATTAACGCAAAATTTTTGACTTTTCACGCATTCAAGAACTGCAAAATTGGAATTTCACGCTCACGCAAACAATAAATGTAATATCAGCTATTGCTCACCAGAGCCCTGTTTGAAGGACTACAACACAACTTTCAAATGTTGAATAATAATTTTTGGTTTGGCTATTATTGGTTTATTACGCACCAAATCGAGACAATTTTTTAAATAATCATTCAAAACTTCATTCACGAATTCACGGATAGTTAAAGCCTTTTCACGACATAACGCAAGGAAAACTCATGTTTCACGCTTCACGTAGAAATCTTAATTTACGAAATCACACATAAAAATCGAGAATTCACGTTTTCACGCATAAAAATATTGCTCATAACGCACCATGTAAAAATATGGGGCCACCCCTCTCTCTCTCTCTCTCTCTCTCTCTCTCTCTCTCTCTCTCTCTCTCTCTCTCTCCTCCTCTCATCTCTCTCTCTTCTCTCTCTCTCTCTCCTCTCTCTCTCTCTCTCTCTCTCTCTTTCTCTCTCTCTCTCTCTCTCTCTCTCTCTCTCTCTCTCTTCCGTCTGAATAGCTCGTCTAGTTGCTAAACTATGATCAAAAGATGTGGTATGGGTCCAATGTTCCCTGTCACTTGATTCCAATACGTTGATCTTAAATCTGTCAATATGTCAAGGGCATGTGGTTATGTGAAGCAATAAAGAGCAAAACAACCTTTTTCTAAGAGCACTTTTTATAAGCACACTGAAGCTCGATTTTCCAAAAAAACTAAAATCAGGGTAAGAACATGTCCAGTCTCAGAAAAAAGAATAATGTATTGTTAAAAATGTTTCCCTCATGCTAAAAAGATGAAGTGGTTTTTATCAATCGCGCTACTTAAACTGTCAAGGAAAACTGTTATTTAGTTATTTAGCAGTTTCAGAAACAATTCATAGTGACTGAATGTAGAAAAATCAATGTGTAGAATAGAAATAGTCTGGTTCACAAACTGTGTGAGTGGATTAGGCCTTATTTCTCTTGACTCTCAAATCCTATCTAAAAAGGTTTCTGTTTTCAATGGACTGTAGATGACATCCCTTTTTAAAATGTCTGTTGGTCATTCTTCGAAATGAATTTATTGGGTGAAATGGGTTTTACCTGGTTATTATCAACCTCCAGTCCTCAATAAAACCCACGAAGTGTTCTACAGCTTTTTAGTCGTACTAGATCGATTCTCCGCAGGTAGTAATGTATTGTAAGAAAGTCATATTTGTCAGCATAGTTAAGCAGAACAACAAACAGAAAAAGGTATTTATGAAAAGAAGAAATAGACTCTCAACCTAATTGACACTCCTGCTCCTTACAAGGAAGGTACAAGGCAGGTCCCACAGTTTTGGGGAAATGATTTTCAAAAAAGACGCTTTGTCATTCTGCTATATATATTATATGACACTCGAATATACATACTTACACTTTCTAATTGCCCCCCCCCCCCCCCCCCCCCCCCTGGGACTGGATTACATGTGGCAACATAATGATGAAGTAAATAACAATATCCATGGCTTTTTAACTAGCCACTTTGCGAAGTCTTCGCCATCTCGCCATTTGATATTCGAGCTATTAACTTTCAACCATAGTAGAATTGTTTTTGTGTCCTGTGATTCTCGATGTTTTTAACTGATCTAAAAAAAGGTAAAAATCGATCATACACTTACCAAACTTAAATAAACATGAAATATACTGAAAATGCTTGAGTTGACATTCCCAGTTCAAAGCTTTGCTGCGTAAAATATGCAGTTTATTTAGCATAAAAATCATCTAAGAGATGACTCAACTCTTCTTGGTTATTATAATTTAATTTTGTGGTTGATCATTAGTCTTACACGATCTTTTGAATGGCTTATCCCAGAGGCAGCACCAAGGGGAGTTTTGGCGAGGGTAATCACCCCCAACGTTTGCTAAACATGCTCCACATAATGCTTCCAAAACTTGATGAAATACACTAGGTAGGGTGTGAATAATATACCCCTTGGGTGGCGACGCCTATCAAGTTTCCTAGCCATAGCAACTGGTGAAGAACTTCAAAATCCAGCCCCAAACTATAAGTTAGACGTATCATAAAGACTTGATATAGATATTTTTAAAATTAAAAGAAATTAATTAGTTTATAGCATATTCTTACCACTGAAAAACTCTTTAGTTAATGATTTTAAAAACAGCAGAGCCAGCATCTTTTCCAACACAACGTGCGTCAACATCAATACAGTTATTATAATTCTCCTTCACGCACATCGAATCAACTCTAGAGTTGCCAGAATATTTGGCCAATGCATTAGTGACTCCTCTTTCTGACCAGCATTCACCTTGAAAATCAATATGAAACCTTGGCATTCAATATTGGCATAAAATGTTAAATCATTATAATTAAAGGTTCATTTGACGGAAATTCGTGTAAAAGCCAAAAAGGGTCATAAGCATAGAGTTTTAAGTTTTTTTACAGAATGGGGTAGAAGTAAAAAAGAAGTTTTAGGAAAAGTCAGCAGAACATGAATTAGAAGTACAAAGAGAGTGATATGGTTTCTTTGTTAGTGGTGTAAATAAAAAGTCTTCGAAGGATTTGTGCTTTCATTGTCTTTCGACAGAATGAGTAATGATGAAATTCTCCTATTGATATCAATTTGGATGCTGTCCCATATCCATGAAACCTTAATGAAACATGAAACATGAATAAACATTAAATTAGACAGCCATGGACATGAAGCCTCCTTTTGGTGCAAGATTCGAAGAATGGGCGGGAAAGCTGCACATATGGCGATCGCAATCAGCAGCTCGTGAAGAACTCCGAAAGGTATGTTTCTTTTTTGCATTTTCATTCGGATTTAATTGAGATTTATGACCAGCAAGAACGCCGTCAAGCTAGACATTGTAAATGGGTGCTGCGGATACACGCATTTTTAAGAAACATCTTATAAGGAACGGTAGGCCTAGGCTCAATTTTTCGGAAGTTAAAAAACAACCCTACATGATTTTAAGAAATTAAGAAACTATTGCAATTTGTAGTTTTGCATCACTGTTTGCTGCAACACTACACAGGACTTTCGAAGAAAACACGGTAAAGCTTGCTGTATGTCAAATAAATTGTTTTATTGAACTTGGTTCCGCCGCACGAAACGTTAGTTCTGATTCTGTAACATACATACTTATTTTTGAATTAGCAAATTGCAGTAGATCCTCTCTGAATGAGTTCTGTTAATACTTGATTTAAAATCTAGCTATTAAATGTACCTTGACGCATGTTTAAAAAAGTAATTATCGAAAAAATTGAAGAAACACATAAACATTTTAGGCAGCAAAATGGCCCGAAAACTCAAGAAGCTGCCTTCCAGCCGCGGGCCTTTTTTTTCTTTTTAGAAAAATACTGGTACTACAGAAAGCAAATTGTTATTTGGCAAGCAATGTAACCAGGTTCCTTAGAACATCTTCGCCATTTCATTTGGCATTCCAGCAAAATGGTAGTAAAGCATGTGATAAATTAACTTTGATACTAACCATAACTCGAAGCAGCGAAAACCTTATATCCTTTCGACTTTACTTTTGCAGCGCATCTGTTTAAAAAGCCAACCATATAGCTATTCCAGTTGCTCCAATCAATCCAGTTGCCATTCCAAGCACTACTTCCTGGGTCTCTTTCAGTTATCACGAGTTCTCTCAACACACGTACGGTTTCCAGATAACAGCCAACACGCTGGTATTTTATGCCACCTAAAAATTGTATTTTTCAAATGTAGGTAGAGTTTTCAAACCCTACTTAGTGGAGTTGTCAGTACAGAACTCAAGCACTTAAGAATATTTATTTTGGAGCTAAACTGTATTCTGTTTTAAAGCAAACAATAAATTTCTATTACACGACAACCGATAATTTATTCAAAATTCTGTTTTGGTAACTTATCTTTCGACATCACAATTAGCTGAAAAAGATGGCTAAGAGGCAAATCTAAAATGGCTGCTCTTAGTATTGTGACCTTAGTTAGGTATCAGAAAAATACCTTCCCATTAAGGATTTACTTAATTGAAACGGGGCAGGTTTACGCAAATATGTACGTATGCAAGGAGTTACAGTGTCGCCAATCGTGAATTCGAGCACTGTCCCGCTCATGTCACTCATCTACATTATTACTCAGTCTAAGTCCATCTTTATGTTTGACCAAGATTCTTAAAATCTGAAAATTAGTACTTTGTAGAACTTTTGTAAAATGTGAATTGAATCTACAGAGATTTAAAACAGTTTTCAAGACAAAGCCTATCTGAGTATGTTTGAAATATGACCTGAATTTGACGCAAATACATACCTCCTGTGTAGAGAGGTGGTGGCTCTAAAAATCAAATAAAGCATAATTATTTTTCAGTAGAAAAACCCACGAACAAATTCGACAAGAAATTCAAAGAGCCAATCTTTAATATTATCTTTACCTTCGTTTCTTAAACTAATAGAAATGGGTAGATAATTTTAACTATGAAGTGAATTTTAGCACTGGGGCAAATTTAATGTTTTGATGAACTTTAATGAACCAATGAGACAAAGCCCTTTTACCTCATTTCAGTGATTTGAACCAGGTGAATTTTCCTTAGGCGAAAACATGATTTACCCCTACCTAACGCTTTTAATCAATTTCAAGAAAAAATATGTGAACAATGCTTTGACAACAGCGTGGGGGAGAGGAGGGAGACTACCCACATACCCCCTTTGACGCTGCCACTGATGGAAATGTGTCCCAGTGAATTCTGAATTTTCAAAGGCTTTTCTGCAAGCCCCTATCTTTATAAGTTTGAATCATATAAAGACGCTAAGCAATTTTAGCAACTTTAACAAATTTTTGTGCGAGTTAAAGTAACATACGAGGACAGCTGTGAATGTTACACTGGACAGAAAAAGACGCTGGCCCAGCGCACTGCCTTCCACCATTCTGAGGTCTTGGGTTGGTGCAGGTTCTCCTCTTGTATTGAATTCCTACACCGCAAGTCTTGCTGCATTTTCCTGACAAAACCAACGCGCTCCAACCACCATGGATAACTAAAGGGCAAAAAACCAGGTTCATTTAACCTAAAAAATCATGCAACATTTTTTGCATTTATTTCGCATAAAGTGTCAAAACTTGAATAAATGAATTGAATTCGATAAACAGCAATTTTCGTAAATAAGCAATATTCTTTATTTTTGATTGTTCTGTTCTTCTTATTGGCGCTTTGCCTCCTTGCTCTGCAGCCCTTTGTACGTTGACCCCTGCCTGGAGGCAATACAAGCATACGGCCATGGGGATGTTATCGATGTGGAATAAAACTTAGTAAATCTACATTACTGCTTTACAGGACCCAGTCATATCCAAGCTGTTTACAAGTAGACCAAGTAATAAAGATAAATAGCTTTAGGCCTTAAGACTATTTAACATCACTCAAAATTTTAGACTATCCAGCAAATTACTTTAATCACAGGGGGTTCAAGTCACGTGCAGTCCAAGGGGCCGACTTGCACATAACAGCGATCTTTCCATTGGTTTCACAGTAAACATAGATCCAAGTCAAAAAGTATCTTAGTTTCATTGAAACCCAAGCAAGCAATAGCAATTCAACCCTGTGCATTTTCTGCCTCAGGTCTCGAGCCAAAAAGGTGTATCTCAAATTTTGAGGCAAGTTATGAGCTGAGAATTCCTTCATAAAATAAATTAAGCATTGAAGCAAGAATCGAACTCAGTTACCCACAATTACGAACCTGGTGGTGCTCTTCGTCTTCGTCGTCGTCTGCGCCAACAATCGCTGTTATCGAGCAAGAGAATGATGAGAATGCAACACAAAATCAAACCTCGCATGGTTTCGTTTGATGCAGTAATTTATCTGTATGTGATGGATATTTCCTCTAAGTAAGTGTTTGCAATGATGACGAACAAGGTTTTATAAGCATAGGAGGAACAGGAACCATGTTAATGTGGAAGTAGATGCTTAAGAAGTTCCTGCTGTGATGTGACGCGATTGCCTACCAAAGATCACGACTTTTTGCTCGAAAACTTGAGCTTGCGCAATGTCATGACTATGTGGTAAGCTTATGGGGATAGGTTTTCCTAATATTTGCGTCAAAAGTTGGATTTTTCTCCCTAGTGTTTCCTGTCTGTGTGATATAGGAAGAGAATGATTAACCGGGTACAAAACTGCAGGAAAACACTCGGAAGATTTTGTTGCGACATTCTTGTTGGGAATTTCTCGTTGGGAAAATATTGAGCCAAAAAAGGCGTCGCAAGGAATTCACAGAGTGTGGCAGCAAAATTCACAATTTCCCAATGCTCTAAACCCAGCTCAGGGGCGGCTGGGAGCAAAATTCGATTGGTATTCATAGCTGTATCAAATCGGGTTTTATTCATCAATTAGACTCCAGGAAAGCACCTTAAATACAATTAGAGTTAGAATGTTTTGTTAATGAGCTTCTGATCAACGCCAGTTAGAATGCAATATAGTTTTCACGTATCTTTAAATATGAGTGTAGGCAAAAGGTTACTGGTTTTTGAAGGCAAGTGGCCTCAGATATTTCAATGTGGGGGTGTGGCATTTTGACGCAATTGATTTTGTTTATCAAAGAGGATATTCTCGTTAGTCAATCATCGCTTCAATTTTCGAGTGATTATGGGTACCTAGGTTTTGAAGTCCCCCTGCGACCACGCCCTTTAATTTTTTTTTCGACCACGCCCATTAGATTGTCTTAAAATGCATTTCAGAATATTTCTTGCAGTCATTTCTTGCAATCGTTTAGAACTTTTAACTATTTTTAGGCATACCTACGTTTCATTGATTTCATTCTTAAAATGGAGTTCATTACTACTTTAGGCCCCCTCGACCTCAAGGCCCTGAGGCACTTTGCCCCCTTTCCCTGCTTACAGTGGCTTCCAGTACCTCCAGGAACAACGTTCAGAGTTTTTCAATAAACTTTGATGCGTGCCTCAAAATTCTAATGAAATTTATTCTCATAGAAAGTATGTAAGGCTAAGACCCCAGCAATTCCCAAAATGTGATTAAACAATACAAAATATCCTTATCTTTGGTTTTTAACATATTTAGCAGCCCCCTAAATTTTTTTTAGCCCCTCTAAATTTGTTTAGCGCCCTAAATCCGAAATGAGTTCCGCAGTCCTTGTCTATAGGTCATGTTTGTCGAATCAGCTCTATGTGCAATTTTCAAAGTATCACAGTAACACAACAATTTCAGTGCACAGTCAGATTTGTTTATTAAAATTCATCAGATATAAATATTTTCAAAAAGAAAACGATATTTTCACCGACTTGTGTGTCACCTATGCACGAGAATAATAACAAATAATACTTAACAATATAATATTCAACAATATTCATATCTTATATGCCTGAAAGAAATTGAACAGATTCGATTTTTAAAAGATTCGACAATCTGGCCATGATATCAGTGATTTGAAAATTACATTTATAGAATTCATTTTTTATCGAATTGCTCCGAGAATACAGAGGGATATGATGGTTGAAAAGAAATTGTTACTTCTATTTCTTCGACCAGCACATTTTTCCTCATTTGTTGGCCAAGACCAAACTCAGGGTATCAAAAACCATACCTCTAATAATGTTTTGCGATGGATTTGAGCCTTTCGAGCTTTTGAAAACAAAGGTATCACAAGCCAAAACACAGCTGTAAGGAGCATCTTTAGGGACAATTCCTTGAAAAGACTATCCAATATGGAGAAGACAAGAAGAGAAACTTAACTTGGACCTCCCTTTTCTGTTTTGGATTAATACTTGCTGTGCCATGAAGAAGCAATTTTCGTTCTTTGTATGCAAGGACATCATAAACATGTCAAAGTTCGAGGGGAGCAGGATCGAAGGGACACCGTGTAACAAAAATGGGGGGACTATTTCAAAGACGTTGCTTCTATTAACAGGGTGGTTTTTCTAAAAATGTTTGGGCATGTGCCACTGGTGCATCCCCGGCTCTAAGCCCCTGTTTGGAAGTCTCTTTTTTTGTAACATTGATATACTCCATTCATATAAAACTCCAGAAAGGGATCTGCGATCATTGTGAGCATCAAATGTTTAATACTAGTGGTATAAGCGTCTCGAAACACTGTCACAAAGCTCGGCTGTGGCTGCAAAATTGATTGCTGCAGAGTGTTTCTAGCAGCATAGCACGACATGAACGCTAATCAAAGTTTCTCTGAAGACTTGAAAGAGTTCAATGTGACGTCACAATGTAGTTATTTCCGTTGTTGTTATCCCAAAATTCACAGCCACGCACTTTGTAGCAGATAGCAAAGCTTATTTGCCATTTTGGATCTACCGTATGAGCTTTTTTCGAAATAGCAAAGAAAAAGAAGTCAATATTGTTTGCTTCATCGTGTCTATGGAAAGAGGCCTTAGTTGGAAAAGCAGTGCTCCAGTCATCAAAAGAATACGCAACAGAAACGTCTTTAGCATATGCAATGTTTGTGACTGCAATCATTCCAATTATTCCGTTATTTGTTGTAGCAAAGCTCTCTAAGGTGACAAAGTGTTCCCTCAGTCTCTCCTGAATGTAACAATTATTCCAGTGAACTAATGGCAGTGTTTCTTTTTGCTTCGTCTTCTCTTTCCTGCACTTTCTTTCAATATATTTACTTTTCGATAGGCGAGCAATGAAAAATGTCTCGTACAATTCTTTCCCTTCCATGTCCGCAAATCGCACTATCTTTCTTTTCTTCTCTACTTGCTCAAAGAGACATTCTGCATCGGACGATGACATCCTTCTTCAATTTTATCGGGACTTGTTTTTTGCGTTCTACGATGAAAAAAGACTATTCAATCACTGCTTATGTTTGGGATACTGTCCTGCTTTGAACAAAATGCACGCCATGAAATCAACATATGGGTGACATTATCTTAGGTTCAAGTTTATGCTTAGGACTCCAGTCAGGGTTTAGAGGTCTGAACTCTAAAATTTTTGGTATGGACCACTGAACTATAAAAGAGATTGGGACGAGATTCCTATTGTCTTGAAACACTGAAGTTTGAAGCCCGATCAATTTCAAAAGTAAGAGGGCTACAAACAAAAGGGGAAAGAAATCCATCAATTGAATTAACCGACAAAAAGTTTTCGGTTTGGTGACACTGTGACGCAAATTTGACGTCGCAGTGTATTTCGTTAGTCTCGCCTCAAACCGAATCGAACGACGGCGATTCGCAAATTGAACACTGCAGTGCAAGTGATGGTACTCTCAGTTCTGTTCTACCAGCTTTCAGTTTGAGCATTTCAGACACCAATTCTGAAGCCTTAAGTTGTTCATCGTTTCTGGAGAACAACATGAGTATATATTTCGATTAATTATACCTATACGCCAGGGAAGAGATGGAACAGGAAGCCATAGCTTTGTGGGCCTACACAGGTGATTAAAACAAAGTCGTGACACAGCATGGACCAATGAGGTCATTGGCATGGACACATTTAGCCTGCGTGCAGACTTTACTTTCCGTTGCGAAGGAGAACCAATACGGCTTTTTGACTGGAGAGGCCCTTTAAATAACTAAAAAAACGATCGTTCCTAGAAACAAATATTTTTCTCAGACCACCGTTTCGTAAAGAACTCAGAGTTACAGTTTATAAAAACAAACTATTGTACGGCTAGAGCTGTCAGAAAACTTTCGAAAGATTTCCTCGAAAAACGTTGACGAAAATAAGAATGATCACAAATTTTTGAGCCTTGGTTTTTTGTTTTCGAGATGAAGGGCTAAACTTATGGCAAGAAAAGGATCTTCGTTGCTTTTTTGTTGCATGTTCATAGTCACTGATTTGAGTGCAAATGCATAAGATTGCGGTTTGTATCACTTTCATACTCCCACACAGAACGTTGGTTGTTTCTATTATCATGGCCCAAGGTAACCATTTTATAAACAAACATAATTCGGACATGAAAGTTTCTCAACGTCGCCACATGCAGGGATTTTAAAGGTTTTGTAGATAGTAGGGGAAAACCTACAGGTAAAATCCTCGTGTATTACATAGTTCTCAGAAAAATGTAAGTCACGGAAACTGTTGATTAAAAAGACGAAAAACCAATGTACAAGTAAAAGTTTCATTGTTTTTTCTTGATTTCACAAAATGCCTCCTGCATTTAAGATAGAGTTATCAACTCTATAGTAACTGTTTGTAAAAGTTGATGGTGTTGCGTAGGCGGAAATTATATATTGAATGGGGCAGCAGTGAAACAACTTGCAAACCATGTAAGTCCCATTATGTGAATGAATGTTCTGCATTGCATAAGCGAACAAAGGTGTTCCTATTGGCTTCTTAAGTTAATTCAGCAATCTTTCACCATACCTCTTAATTAACAAATGTTTCAGTTTGTCAAATACTGCTCTAGTGCAGCAAACAAATTTCACGGCAATGTGTTTCTATTATGATGGTCCCGTCCTACGTTAAGATGGTCCCGTCAGGGGGTCGTGTGCTTTATAAATTGCATTTGCAACGTCATCATGCATTAGCAGTTGCATTTTTAATGTGCATTCACCAGAAATTCTTTAATACACACAGTAGATATGTTCAACAAAAAAACTTTGGATTTATAGGGCCAATATTTAGACTAAGTAGAAAAGTGTAAAAAACAGCTTGAAAAATATCACAATGTAGCTTGCCTACTAAGCAAATGATTTCGAAAAGTCAGTCTTTCTAAATTGCTCTTCTTCATACTCAACCAGAACATTCCTAGGTTGGGACATGAGGCATTAAACAAATAATGGCATAATATCAAACATAAGATCATTTAATAAATAAAGTTGTCAAGGAAGTTCAAAAATTTTTATTCGGCCTAAATGTTTATGTATACGCAAATATGACTTACCTGCTTCCTTGAATGATTTGCTGGACAAACTTGAAGTATAAAGTTTGAAACTGAAGTGAAACAACATATTCAGAAGATCATTTGAATCCAGTTTTTACGGCAACGAACATGTCCCGAAGCAAAGATCGAAAAGACCAATCTACGACTTCGCCGTGTTTCCATCGTTACCGTTGAAACTGTCCAGGAATTCTACGTTTTCAGCAGGTTGTGTGACGTTGTTGTGAATATGCAAAATAAGCCTTTGGAAACGCCTACCTTGTAAACATTCTTTTTCTGTGGTTTTGAAAATATTTTCAGTTCGTTGTCATGCAAAACCAGAGGGGATTTAAGCGGTTCAGTTGTAATCCAACATTTCAACGAAAATGGTCCGAATTGATGCACGCAGAACGGTTCTTCGTGGGCTATGCCACACTCATCCCAGGGCCGCCGGAGGGAGGTTGGAACAGGGTGGGACAAAATTAAGAGCATAAACATCTATTTTTGCGTAACATTTAATATTGCCAAAAATGGTACAGCTTTCATGGTGGCTTAGAAATTTAGAAATAATAATACACATTGCCTATAACTAGAATTATTTTGTCTACTAGCACAAAGCCCAGACTGCAAAGTTTGGGTATGCGCGGGGAATACTTTATTCCTCAAAACACGTCCATGCATTTTTGTAATTATAGATTAACCCGCGCAATTGCAGCACAGACTAAGCGCAAATCCCGCGCATAGTTTGACCGCTTACAAATGCTAACTAAAAATAAAATCCCGCAGCTTGTAGTCCAGTCAATTTGTGGTGTAAGCTCAAACAAATTGCAACAGGAATGAATACATGCTAAAAAGATTACAAAATGTATTTATACCTTGAGCAAAAAAGTCCTAGAAAATCATTGAAGTGGAACATTGGAAAATTTAAATGCCATTTAAGGTAGTACATTGGCTAAATTTTGAAATATGGTGAATGCTGCAAAATATGGTCTTCTACCAAATAAGGCGTTTTTAGAGTCGCTCAGTAATTATGCACTCGTCTTAACTCGTCTTAATTCGTCTTGCCTATCTACAAAATGATTTTCGCTTTGCAAAGTCTCATGAAATTTGGACTAATAAGGGTATTATTTCTCTATTTTGAGTCTTGAATGCGATTGACGCTTTTGATTTCAAGCCAAAATACGAAAACAACCAAACTATACCAAACCAAACCAAACCAAATTTTCTAAATAATCAAAAACGAAAAATTATCAAACAAAGTTTGCAAAGGCATCATTTTCCCTTTTTCAATGATCCACCCCCATTCTGTAGGATCGAAATCTCTTCCTTTCCATTGCATTACTTGAGCGAAAACTCGATAACTGTGATACTTAGCAGCAGAAGAGGTGGGTGGAAGTACCTGTGGGCTGATAACAGATTTACCAGAAATAGCTTTATCACAGAAGGTATTGTAACGCAAGGCATCGAGTCCTTCACCTTCCTTTCCTTTATATAAGCAAACGAGGGCATGCTCGCCAGCAGATGCTATTTTCTCGGAGTTGGCAAGATCATTCTGGAACACTGCAGCCTGTCGTTGTAAGTGTTTATTTTGTTGGAATATCTTCAACGATAACCCTTTACCGATGCCATACAAGCTAGATGTTGTGTCGCACCCAAGAATGGCATGTAGGAACAAAATATTGTTGCATATATCTTTGCCCAACAATTCCTTACATAGTTTAATATCCCAGACATTTGTACCTCTAGCATTCTGCTTGGACTCAGAGTAGAAGTAGATTTTTTTTCGACTCTTTGTTTGCGTGGTAAATGAGCAAAATTAGCAAATCTGTGTCTTCACCAATCACCGCCGTCTCTTCTTCCACTGAGGCCTCAATCCCTTTTTGAACAATCAGAAGATCAGCATCAGCATCAGCATGGTAGACATCACAGCCCTCTGCCTTCAACTTTGCTGCAAGCATGTTGATAAACCTTTGCTTGTTTTCATTGTTTCAAGAAAGGTTTCTTTCCTTATAGTAAGAAGCATATTTTCTTCGAATTTTACCGTTGTTCCAGACGACAAGCCAACTCTTCGTTGATGTGTCATGTCCTTGGGCGAAGGACCAGCGGTATACCCATCAAAAACTATGAAAGCTTTTGTGTACTTCCTTTTCACATATGCCACATAACTATCGATAATGGAGGCATATGATGCTCCACGCTTCCAAGATATCCGTTGCAGCAAAGAGCCCCCATCTAAAACATACCTTACTGGCTGCGATGGTATTTCAATCTCTGTCTCAACCATTTTTCTTATGGTACTCGCCAGGACGGGCTTGTTAGCTTTTCTCAAGGAGCCATTTGTTTCAAATAAAGATGCTGGAACCGAACAGAGCTCGTAGCTGAAAAGTTTTGATGTATCTTCAGTGGTATGACTTTTAACGGCAATAAGTCTTTGAAATAACAGCTGGGGTCCTACATGAATGTCTCCATCTGTTTCCTTTGGGTGCTTTTTTGCATCAAGCGTAATGGCCTGGTTTGCTCTTTTGAACACAAAATCTTTGCAATAATGACCTGTCATCTTTTCAAGAATCTTGTTTCCAACTTCTTTTGCAACGTCAGCATTGACTGTATCTATTGCTGTTACCCCTGTCGCAATGTTGCGAAGACTGCAGTCGTCACTAAATGGATCTCTTACCTGAAAGAATGAAAGAAGTGAATTTGTGTCTTTCAAATCTCTGCTAATTCTCGCTTCTGACGTATCTTTATGTTGCTCACTGCTGCTGAAAGTAACTTCAGTAAACTCTTGCATAACTTCATTGATCTCAGCAGTTGCTGACATGGATAACAACCAGATCAGCCTCTGTGTTTCAGACATTCCCCTTCCTCTTGTCAAGCCACCAGAGGTTTTAAGGCTTCGCATCAAAACTTGTTCTATGATGAGGTCAGAGGATAA